TTGTCGATAAATGTTCATTTGGTCTATTATATATTGTCGATAAATGTTCATTTGGTCTATTATATATTGTCGATAAATTTTCATTTGGATTGTCAAGAATTTATGATGAGCCATTCACAATAGTTATTATCGTACTCGTTGGACTTATTGCCGGTGGAGCGATTAATCGTAGCAGCGATGTAGGAATAACAATGTTGGAGACATTTCATTCGATCCACCATGATATGTCAATAAGTTTAAATGAATTATGGTCATCTATTAAAAAAGTTACTCGTACATTTTCTGATACAATCACGCTTGTCAAAATTATAGAACTTTCGTTCCTTGGATTGTTATTGAAGTCTTTACCTGAATTGCCTCCATTTTTATTTAAAACATTAGATAAAACAGCGAAATTAGAGTCATGATATATTGAAGAAAAGAAATAATAAAGTCACATATCTTGTGCAATCTGTCATCTCTACAAAATGATGAAAAATCTTTCTAACACTATACAGGGTGCGTAAAAATGTTTTTCCAGGAGAATAACACTGTAATTTCAAAGAGCATACATAACTAATTTTATAGCAAATTAAAGCGCGTGAAAAATGAAGTTTTTTCATCCTAAATTGTATGAGTTATGAAAACTTTTTGATGTTGAACTTAAGAAATTTTACATTTTTTTTCGGATAGAAAACTAAGACGTCAGTGTAAATGAAGTGTAGAACTGCTACGAACATTATGATTTTAACTAATCACATAATATTTATTTGATATTTCGACAATATTCTTTTGTCATCATCAGAATAAATACAGATCTCACAATAAGAACAATACAAACAAACTCAAGTTAAGGGTGTGGGTGTGGGTGTGGGTGTGGGTGTGGGTGTGGGTGTGGGTGTGGGTGCGAGTGTGGGTGTGGGTGCGAGTGTGGGTGTGGGTGTGGGTGGGTGTGGGTGTGGGTGTGTGTGGGTGTGGATGTGGGTGTGGGTGTGGATGTGGAATGTCTCTTCATGCACAGTCCCAATCACAGCCACATGCACATCTCACAGGCACTACCACAGTGTCACTCACACAAGGATTTTTTCAAGAAAAAGTCAAGTTCTTTTCATTTTGCTGGTGTTGCCATATGTAATAAGTACGAGATGTTTCAAACATTCTGGGACCCCCGTACCTACATACCACATCTTGAAATTGGGCATTTTTCCGAAATGATCTCACGAGATACAAATGTGAGACTTTTTGATAAACGAGAGCTTCCGAGAAAAATGTAAGTTGGGAGGGATGGAATGTCTTTTCACATGTTCCGTTGAGTCTCAGTATAGAGAGAGCTAGAATATCCGTCACAGTAAATGGCGAAACTTTGCTCTGTTGTTTAACAGACTCGTCTTGTTCGAGTATGTGTCGTCGTCGAAGGCAAAATTCAAAGTGACTTCAGTGTTTCTTGCGGAGAAAAAACATACACTTTTCTCTCTTTCTCTCTCGCCTTCGCTATCCCTTTCTCTCTGTTAACTTCTTTCTCAGTCTCTAAATCTCGGCAAGGAATTAAACCTTTTTTGCAAATGCAGTGAGATGCCGTCGGGTGCACTTGAGTGCCTTTTTATTGGTCTACCCACTAGTGAAGGAAACAACTGAAATCAACGCCACGCTCGTGGAGCAACACTTGAATAGTGTAGTGTGTGTGCAGTATCTTCTCTTCACCCTCATGCCATAGATGTGGGATGGTGTGGGTGTGACTGTGGGGTGT